TTCAATAAATGATGCCAAGAATTGCTATCTGGTCACATTCAGAAGAAAAACTAGACCCCAACTTCTCACCATTTACAAAAAATTAACTCAAGATGGAATAGTGACTTAAATGTAAGAACTAAAATCATAAAAGTACTAGAAGAAAACCTAGGAAATACTCTTCTTGACATTAGGCAAACAAGGAATTTATGACTAAGTTTTCAAAGGCAAATGCAGCAAAAACAAAAATTGACAATTAGGACCTAATTAAACTGAAGAGTTTCTGTATAGTCAAATAAATTATCAACAAAGTAAATAGAAAATCTACAAAATGAGAAAAAAAATTGCAGACTCTGCATTTGACAAATAACTAATATCTAGAATCTACAGGAAACTCAAATAAATCAATAGGAAAGAAACAACCCCATTAAAAAGTGGAGAAAGGACATGAACAGACATTACTCAATAGAAGACATACAAGCAGTTAACAAACATGAAAAAAATGGTCAGCATCACTAATTATCAGGGGAATGCAATTCAAAACCACAATGAGATGCCACTTCACACCAGTCAGAATGGCTGTTATTAAAAAGTCAAAAAACAACAGATGAATTCGATATAGGCCCAAACCTCACTATCATGCAATATACCCATGTCAAAAAAAACTGTATATGTATCCTCAAATCTAAAATGAAAATAAAAATGATTGAGATATTTTACAAGAAAACAAATCAAAAACAAAACCCAAAGAGCTAGTATAGCTAATGAAACTTTTCATTGACTACATTTATTTTTCTTGAAAGCTGTTTTCAGTTGAATTCTCAGCATTTTTTGATTTTAACATGAAACTTTATGTGGGTGATTGGACATCACACCTGTGTTTGAGCATAAAGAACGTGATCTAGCAATGCATCTAACCTGCCTAACAGGTATTGCTTCTACCTGGATGGCTTCCTTGTGAGTCACAAAACGCCTCTGTTGCAAGTATGCATTCAGTTTCATTCTTAGACTTGTCTAACTCAAGATGCTGAACAAATTTTAAAATTCAAAAATATAAAACATTTTAAAAAGCATTTGCTCATTATTCAGCTTCCCAAAAAGCAGATGTCTTTATGCATGATCTCATATTTTTTGATATGTTATATAGAAAAAAGGATGTCTCTACTAATACAGCAACACTCAAGTTTGTTCCCCATAATCATAGGGATATGAGACATTGAGCAGTCGTGAAAGTTTCAGTGCATTGCTGCTCTGATCAAAAAT